TGTTTTATTGCGCTGTTCAATCTCTTTTTTTGGCGGAAATTCCACTTTAAATCCAGGTTTTTGAACATTCCTCCCCCCTCAGGGCACGCCTTTTGTTAGGCGGAGCCTGAGGGGAATTTTAAATTTCCCCTAAATTAAAACCTCAAAATATTTAAATTTTAATTTATCCCTTTTAATTTTAAATTTTAAATCCCTTTTAAATTAAATTTATTTTAAATTCGTTGAATTTTGTGAGGTTTTAGAGGCTTTTTTTTTTTTTTTTTTTTTTTTTTTTTTTTTTTTTTTTTTTTTTTTTTTTTTTTTTTCCCGTTTCTCGTGTGGTGCCTGAGGGAAATTTTCATTTTCTTACTGAGTTTTTCTGTCGAAATCATTAAATTTCCCTCGAACTAATTAATTTTTATATCTAAATAATTAAAGTTATTTTTTATAACACCTAAATAATTAATTTCCACCTCTTGAGTCCTTTTGCAGGGGGATATTTGCTGTTAAAACCGAATTTTTAAACTCTTTTTATTCTGCTGAGCCTGAGGGGGATTTAAAGTTTCACGTTCATTGTCACATATAAATAATAAACAAAAATTCTCTTTAATTTCATTTATTTCAATTAAAAATCAAAGTTTACGATGATTTTTGGGATAAATTAATTAATTCGGAGGTTTTTTTGGCGGGAAATTTCGCTCTCTAGCAGGGATTTGGTGCTTTTGGATGGATAAAAAAATCCGATTTTTCCTTTTATTTTATGTGGAAATTTCGCTCTTTCTGCCGTAAAATCTAAAATTATTCTTAATTGTCCAATTAAAATATTAAAATCCATTTATTCAATTTTGTTTCTGTAGTTAAAAGGTTCTTGTTAATAAATAATGGAGTTAATAAATTGATTTTTTAAATTTTAAAGGTATTTATGGGCTTATCAAGTGTTAAAATTTTTATTTATTTGAAGTTTTTTAATTAAATTTTTTGTAGCACATTCTTTACCAAAAATTAATGGGTCATATAAAAAATTTTAGATGATAATAAGGTGATTTTTTTTCTTATTATTGGTTTAAAAAGTGCTATTAATTACAGAAATAAAGTGGATTTATTGATAAATAATTTGGGTATTGATTGGATTTTAATTATGGAAATATCCTTAAATTAATTAATCGTATAATTAATTTTTAAGGGAGTACTTTAATTACAAAAATCAGTGCAAAACACCTTTAAAACACGGATTTAATGTTAAATTTTGGCTAAGTAATTAAAAGCATTGTATTAATGAGTAATAATATTAATTAGGATGTGATACTTCATGAATACTAATGAATTAGGGATATTAATGAATACATTTCGATAAATTGAGTGTTTTGTTTTTATTGTTTAATTAAAACCTCCCCTTAATAACAGTAATGTAAAGGGGAAAATTGATAATTAATAAATTATTAATGTATTGTTAAATTATTATTAAATATTATGTGATTAATAAGTCTTCTAATTAAAAGTTATTAGTTGCATTTTTATATTTTCAATGTGTTATTTGGTTATGATGTAATTAGTGAATATATTATTTATTATTAGGTAATTATATTTTAGAATGTTTAATTACTTTAAAGTGTTCTAAATTGCCTGTAATTAAAAGGATCCTGTTAATAATTAAGAACAACAATAAAAAAGAATTAATAATTAAAATTAATTTCTTTATTGATAATAATAAAAATTAATGGGAAGGTGATATTTCTATCTAAAACCATGCCGTTGCTAATTAGTGTAACAGGAACTGGCTTAATTAGAGCTCTTAATTAACACCTGATGATCCAATTTCTTTATAAAATACGAAAAATAAATTTATTTTAAGCAATTTCTCAAGGATTAACCCCGAATTTTTTAAATCTTTCCTCCCCAGGTTTAATAATTTAGGGAAAATAAATGGATTTTATTTGATTT